GTTCAATAGCAGATAGGCAGAGAACAAAAAGTATAAATACAAGAAAGTAGTAAACCCTCCTCTTCTTCCCCTGCCTCCTCCAAATAACCATGACAGTCATTCTAATTTTAGTGTGTCTTTGTCACTTTAATCTCTACAGAAGGGAAGTGAGAAAGAATTATGAAACTTCCTACTGTTATTCTAGCTCTTGCTCCCGTCTTGTTGCTGGTATCTGCTTTTCATTCTTGCATTGAATTAGATTTAAGTTCTGGATGCCAAGTATGAAGGGACATTTGCTACGTCTACCATTTAAAAAATACAAAGTGGGTAACAATTTGGGGTCAGTGCATTTTCCCTCTTACACCGATATTCTGACAAGTAAATTTGTATCACTAGCAAACCTAAGACAGACAGAATTTCTGATTGCTTTTCTTTTTAAGCCTATCTTTGCTGGCCAGGCGAATACAGTCCTTGGATAAGGCAAGCTTACACATGATACTTAAAGATCAGATTTGCAATAAAAGACCCATGAAATAATATAGGTATAGCTTACATTAGTGATTTTCAACTAGGGTGCTCAGATTTTTTTCCAGGATTAATTTTCACATGCCAGTCTTGTTACTGTTATGGGGACAAATCCTGTTTGGGATGCCTTGAGATCCTATCAGGGTGACAGAGTGCCACACAGTGTTAGCACTGTTAGGTGAGCAAACATGTTACACAAAAATATCCCAATGGGCACATCCAGATGAGCAGAAACGTGCATTTCCCTGGGGAGAATTAGTAGCGGCACACCTTGCACCACTGCTGCTTGCCCCGGGGAACTCCCATGCCACGCTCTCTGGCACATGCCAGGTTACCCTGGGTGGGGTAGGGAAGGCTGGGGACAGCAACTGTGCTGGCTCCAGCAGCCTTACCTGGGGTTTTAGGGGCCTGTGAGAGCTACAGACACAGCACTCCTGCAGCAGGAAGCCTGGCCAGCAGATGGAGTGTAGCTCTGGCTGCCCAGGCTCCGGTTTTGGATGTTGTGTGCTGCCGCCACATGCACCATCCTGTTTTTGGCATGGGTGTTTTTGACCCCAGGATTTCTAAGGGTCAAACAACACCCCCCCGCAAGGTAGAAGTTCAGGGAACATCTGCATGTGCAGTGTGTGGCACTGCAGATGGGTCTGCAGCACCACATATGGCACATCTGCACAGGTTTGGATGTGCCTAATGACTTCAAATAAGAATCCATAGTGTTAAAAGCATTTTGACCTGTTGTGGTCTGAGTTCTTAGAAATGGAAAAAATTGCTGTATTATGTTTCCATAATTAAAAAATGACCAACAACTAAAAACTGGCCTTTTCTGAAGGGTGCCTTGAACCTAACAAAGGATGACTTGAATCTAAAAAAGTTGAGAACCCCTGGCTTACACCAATATGTAAGGAACTATAATGCTAAAAAGTAATAAGGAATTTTGGAGTGCATCTACACAAGATGCTTAACTGCGCATTAGCATAGCTTACTGTGAAGTGCATGTCTACACATGCACATGCTTACTATGCAGTAAAGCTCCCTACTCCTGAGTCAATTTGCTACCTACAAATGCAAGTAGCAAAGTTACCTGAGATTAGTCAATTTGCTCATGTACACATCTGACCAGGAACAAAATCTGCTCCCAGTCAGCCATCCACCAGGAGGCAGGAGATAGCTCCCTCACCACTCTCCAGGAGCTGCCTGCTGCCAGGTCAGGCTCCACCACAGAACCCCGGGCAGGGAAAGTGTCCCCCTGCCCCAGCAGCAGGGAGCTCCAAGCCCTCTGCTCCAAGATCACAAATAGGGAGCAGGGGCTAGGAGATCTTTATCTCCCAGTCCCTGTTTTGCCATCACGATCAGGGAGCTGGAAGACCCTTATCTCCCAGCACCGGTTGGTTCTGTGTTGTGGATGGATCTCCCAGCACTGGCACCGCAATCACAGCCCCATGTTCATGGAGCTGGTGCTGGGTGCTCCCGCTGGCAAAGGCAGGGGAACCGAGTGCAGACCCGGGAGGGGGACACCAGGATGGGGAACTTGTTCCCCACTCAGCTGTACACTCACAGAGCTGGGTGGGGAACAAGCTCCCCAGCCTGTTCCCCCCCAGCTCCAGGCTTGCGGAGCTGACTGGGAAACAAGCTGCCTAACCTCCACCCAGCATGCAGGGGCTGGGAACTGTCCTGGTCAGGGACAGGTCCTAGCCCCATGCCCTGGTTGGGTGATCGAGGCATGGGGCTTGGAAAGAGCTGAAGGGGTGGGGGGGGTTCCAGCCCCCTGCCCCAATCTGGCAGTGGGACAGCTAAAGGTAGGCTAGCTGACAATTGTGCCCCTCCTCTGCAACTCTTCCCAAGTCCCCTGCCCCTGATTGGGAAGCCAGAGCCAGGAGCTCCCTGCTGATGGGGTAAGGGGACATTGTCCCTATCCCAGCACCAGGCAGCCCACCAGGGCCAGGAGACAGCTGGGACAGCACACAGGGGGAGCCTAGAGTTCCCCTTGGTGGCAGCAGGGACCCATTACAAGACTGCAGAAAACTTGGTGCAAAGAGCAGCAAATTTGCTCTCTTATCCTCACATGTGTAAATGCCTGCCTGAAAGTGCTTACGCCACAGTAGCTTACACCAGAGTAAATTTAGGCTGGCTCAAATGCATGTGTAGATGCACCCTGTGTCCTGCTTCCACAGGGATTCCCCAGAATGCTACAAGGCTCTATTGGGAAGATCAAGACATCTACTACAATTTAGTCAATGAACAGACTTCTGCTGGCATCAGTTATATGTAGCTTTGTGTTATACCATTAACCCTGCTTATATCGTATGACAATCTTGCAACTCTGAGAGTCACTGGTACTGGGCTATACATTCTGTCATTGTCACCCTAAACTCATCAGGAACTACCATGCAGGTGTCTCTGAGATGTATACACAGGAGAGCGGGGATCTCTTCATATGTATATTTGTTTTACTCATCCACAATAGATTGATATTCCTACCTGTGAGTCAGCCTAAGGTTCTCTAGTTCTAGTTCACAGGTTAGATGTGCATGGCATTGGTTAACCAGAGCCCTACTTCATATGAAACAGCACCATCTGATCCAAGAAAGGAGGCTGATTAACTAAAGCCATGAAAAAGCCTAGTGGAAAATTAGCCATAATCGCTGCAGACACGTGTTTAATTCTACATGTGGCAACATCCAAAGGCGTAGGAACTTGCGTCCTGAAGAAAGTGGTACAGAAACTTCCAATGTGATGACGGCTGGAAAGAAATGTAATGCTCATCTATGCTGAGCTACTAAAAAAAGCTCTTGCAAGGGTTGAATTTAGTTCTTGTGATTGTATTATCCATTTCAATTGCACATCACCATTTCTTAATGTAAACAAACTTCTAAATTATAGACAGGTAATAGATTAAAAATGATAAAGCAAGACCTGTACATTCAGATCTACTTTACAAATTTGGAAGCCAAATACCAAGATCACATTCTTGAAAATAATGTTCAGTGCAACACATTCAAAATACATACCAGTTTGTGCTTACTGCATTTATCAGCAGGGTATCCAGTTTATCAAATCTTAGGCAGCTGACAGACATGAAAAAAAAACACAGCGCTTTACTGGCAGAGGAAGTGTGTTAGTTTGACCTAGATCTCCAGCATCTGTATAGATCACATGCTTCAGTGCAGCTTTTTGACACTTCAATCCAATAGCAGATTCAGTCAGTTATTCGACCTGGAAGGATGTGGGAAGTGGGGTCCAGCTGAGCTCGGTCCTTGGACCTGTACTCTTCAATGTCTTCACTAGTGACTTGGATGTGGGCATGAAGTGTACTCTGTCCAAGTCTGTGGACGATACTAAATTGTGGGGTGAAGTGCACACACTGGAGGGTAGGGAATGATTGCACACAGACCTGGACAGGTTGGAAAAGTGGGCAGAATGCAGTTCAACAAGGACAAATGCAGAGTGCTGCACCTCGGGCGTAAAAATATCCAGCATACCTACTGGTTGGGGAATGACCCTCTCAGCAGCACAGAAACGGAAAGGGATCTCAGAGTCGTAGTGGACTCCAAGATGAACTTGAGTCGTCAGTGTGACGAAATCATCAGCAAAGCTGATGCACTTTATCATGCATTAGCAGATGCATGACAAATAGAGCCAAGGTGATACTTCCCCTTCTATGCGGCATTGGCGAGACTGCATTTGGAGTACTGTGTCCAATTTTGGGCGTCGTACTTTAAGAAGGATGTGGATAACCTCGAGAGGGTCCAGAGGAGGGTCACTCGTACAGTTAAGGGTTTGCAAGTCAAGCCCCATAAGGAGAGACTAAGGAACCTGGATCTCTTCAGCCTCCACAAGAGAAGGCTGAGAGGTGATCTTGGGGCAGCCTAAAAATTCATTAGGGGGGGCGCAGCAAAGAACCAGAGATGCTCTGTTCACCAGGGCGCCTCTTAGGGTAACAAGGAACAACAGTCACACACTGACAGACAGCAGATTTAAGCTGGACATCAGGAAGAACTTCATGTTCAGTGTGCCCAGAATTTGGAATGGGCTTCCAAGGGAGGTGGTGCTCTCCTACCTTGGGGGTCTTTAAGAGAAGGCTGGATAAGCATCTGGCTGGGCTCATCTGACCCCAGCACTCTTTCCAGCCCAGGGCAGTGGTTCGGACTTGATGATCTGTTGAGGTCCCTTCTGACCCTAGTATCTATGAATCTATGAATCTTAATAAAAGTGTCAAAAAGCCCCACTGAAGTGTGCAATCTATACAGACCTTGGGTGAACTGGGTCAAACTAACATGATGCCTTTTTTGGGCATGTGCTGCACTCAGCGCAGGGGCACACCAAGTTTAATATAAAGTGCTGAGGGGTGGGAGTTTCACATCCATAAGCAGCCTTAATGATTAGAAGCCTTTTCATAACTATCAACAAAGGACGAGAAAAATGATGCCATTAGTGCCAAGATCTTCAGCCCTACAAACGCAGCACCAAACATCAAATATACTCAACAGAAAGTTTTGTGTAGTTTTACGAGGGCACCATTTTATTCTTATTAAAATATACATAAATTATGCTTTAAGCTTTGACTGAAACTTTCAGCAATTAAAAAGGCATCTACATACAGGTTCCTGCCAGGCAGTTTGACTTGAAGTATGTAATACATGATACACTAAATATAGTATCACCACTTTGTTTCCAAATAGTTGCCAGAGGTTGGAAGCTCTTCGGAGTCACAATATGCCTTTTTCCAATCCATTATAATTTAAAGGCCTAAACATGACTAATTTTTGGAAGAGTTAAATCCTTTTGGATTAAGGGAGTGGATGATGCTTGCTTCAAGAGCAGGCCTTCATAGACCACTTTTTTCCACGCACAGCACCTTGGGCCAACTAGCAAATACATTTAAAATATGGTGTCTTCAGAAAGACAGAATGGTCTTGTGAATTATTTCAATGCACTCCCTGATTTCATCCTCCTTGATCACAAGTGGAGGTGCTAGTCTGATGATGTCACCGTGTGTGGGTTTGGCAAGAAGTCCATTATCACGAAGCCGCAGACACACTTTCCAGGCATCGTAGTCTAAAGCCAAAAAAGAAGAGACATGTTTACACTACAGTAAAATAAATGGTGCAATGTTTACTGGTGATTTGTGTGTGGGGCCAGATCGCGAATTCTTTGCCACCTGGCAGCAGAAAGATTAAATATGTACAGTTCTTTATTGTAAATGCTGCTCATAAGCATCTTTCCAGGTATGTTAACAAGGAAAACGTGATGCCCTGGCACCAAGTCTACCTCAAGCACCTGCTTTTTTTGCATCTCTAAGTTAAGAATTTTTAATGGAAGATACATGCCATCTATTTTGCAGCATATTATAAATTAACATAGATTTAATGCCCAAAAAGGGGCAAACTGAGGAACTCATTTTCCATTCACACCCTCCTTTGCTCCAATGACATTACTTTCCATCTAGGCACTGGAGATTATCCCCACCAACCCCAATCACTGCAGTTAAGTACCTGGATGCTGCAATCTAAGTGTAAGACAAGAAACAACACAGCAGAAGGGAGGTTGAAGGCAGGTTAGCATTTCAATACATTGTTCACATCTCAAAGTGATTACAAATTTATTAGAAATTTTCCTATCACAGAAAAGTACAGTACCACATGCAGCAGAACAAATCAGAATATGTAATAACAGTACGCTACCCTGGCTTTTTAGCCACTTTCTGGTATGATTCAAGGTATTTGTCCCTGAAAATATTTTTTTCTCAATTTTGCTTCCCAATAACTTGTTACATTCATTTCTCCTGCTTCAATTCTAACCAGGCTTTGCAAACCTGGGAGTAAGGAAGCAAGGCATCCTCACAATGTGCCTTTAAACTCTAGAAGGCAAGTCCTTCCTTAATCTGAGAGTGAATTCCAGGGCATGCTGCAAAAGGCGTATGTTCCATCCAGTTTTGTTTCCGTGAACAGCTGGCAGAGTGTTTATTGGCAACAGTGGAGAAATGTGAAGATTACTGCAAGCAATTATTTGATAGACTATATTTGTGAACACCAGAGATGGCAATGATGGCAGCAACACAAACGTCAATACATAAAATCCTCACAGACTAAAAAAGGTTGAGAACCACTGGCTTACCACAATACTCTGCTCCCATTTAAATACACCAGAAAGGAAAAGCTGCCTTTGTCAAAAGCATGCAGCTGTATGCACAAACTTTGCACATGCCACAAAATAGGCCTTTAAAGCGGCTTAAATGCACTTCTGCACTGCTTTAACGGTGTGGCTGTCTGCACGTTTGGCAGCATATTCCGCTTTAATGGTGTTGCTGTTTGCATGCTTGGCGATGCATTTAAATTACTTTGGTACATAGCAAGATAAAATACCTCCAAGGTGTTTTAGTTTGCTACCTTATAAAGTGCAACAGTGCACAGGGTGCTGAAAGCCAACGTACTCAGGGCTTGGTGGGCTCCGCGCAGCTCAGGGGCTGTGAGACCCAACAGCAGCCCATGCAGGCAGGCTCCACCAAAGGGGAAAAAGAGAAAATAAAAGCAGCAAGCCTGATCTTTTCTTTTTTTTTCCCTCCCCAGAGCCTGCCTACCTGAGCTGTGCAGAGACCCAGTGCTTCCCTCTGTGGCTGGGGGGAGGGGGGGAGGGGGGGGATGACAGAGCTTCCCTCTGCAGCCCCCCAGGACCCCTGCGCAGCTCAGGGACCAGTCAGCCCACCGGCAGCTCACCCCGCCCCCTTCCCTGCTACTGAAGAGGCAGGTAAGGATCAGGCCCCCACCCTTGTGTACACGCCATGGGGGTTTAGCTCAGTTTCATTCTCCCTAAATTGAAGCAGTGTTTTTAAAAACCTACCCTTTCAGTTTAGGGAGAACTAAACCAAATTAAACCCCTGTGGCATGTACAAGCAACCCTAGAGACTATGATGAGCCAGCCAAGACATGAACCCCAATAAGTCATCCCCCATCCCACAAAATATCTTACTTTTTTTTCTTGCTCACACTTTGATTCTGTAATTTGTCAAGAGTTTCTTTACCTTTAGTTTGACGAATAACAATGGCATTTAATAATCCTTTCCCTCTCACACAGGTCACAATGTCTGATGGTGTCTTCATGAGTTCACTTCTCAATAAGATACCCATTGCTTCTGCATTTTTAGCTAAGCCTTCTTCTTCTATTACCTAAAAAGAAGATGGAGCTCAGGAAAACTGCATAACTTTTTGGTTATTTGGGTCCTAGCTACTAATAGGGAATACACCATACTGATATGCATAAGCATGAAATATACTAGGTAAAACAATGCTCAATGGTAAGAGTACAAAAGCCATATCCACTAAAAAAGTCACAACAAAGACCTAAGCATCCACATTGACCTGGAAAATAATCTGATCTATGAAGTTCTCAGCTCTATACATTTGGCAACCATGAGGGTTTTTTTAAGTTAATAATTTACATTAAATATCATTAATTATGTAATTTCCTAATTATTAAAATACAGATTCTTGACATGATTTTTAACAGCTTCTCTTTGAGTTGCAACACCAGATGTTAGTTTAAATCAAACTAATAATAGACTTTGATATCTTTTTGAAGTTGTTGTAATAAAATGAAGCAAGCAGGTTTCTTTTCTTTTTTATGGAAAAAGGCTTAAAAGAGAGTAATTTGATCAACTTTAAATAACTCTACTGAAATACTGGTCTTTCACCAAGCAAAGGTGTTTTCTTCAATAATATCTATAACTTATCTTTACTCCTAAGAATTGTGAGACAGTACAATTAAAATAAACTAAAAACAAGTTTATAGGAATGATTTTCAGAATTTATTTTGAAATTAAATAAATGTAGTAGACAAACAAGTAATTAAGCATGGGACATTAACCAGATGGGACAACTAATGCCCAGGAAAAAGCCAACCTATTAAATGGGTACTTTGCATCAGTCTTTCATCAGTCCCATGGGACGCCCATGCCCGCTACAGGACAGGGAGGTCCAGGTGAGGGAGATCCTCAGCCCTCCATCAATGCTGGCCTCATAAAGGAACACCTTGAGAGGCTGGACACTCTCAAGTCAGCCGGCCCTGACAATCTACACCCCAGGGTACTCAAAGAGCTGGCAAGCATCGTAGCCCAGCCTCTGGCACGGATCTTTGAAAACTCCTGGCGCTCTGGTGCAGTGCCCAAAGACTGGAAGAAGGTCAATGTGGTGCCTATCTTCAAGAAAGGGAGGGAAGTGGATCCGGCTAACTATAGGCCCATCAGCCTGACTTCTA